GCTTGTGAATAATAATAATAATAATACTCGGAGCATATGTCATGAATAAATACACATGAACCACTTGAATGAGATTGTCCGCATGACAAACACTCACTGAATCTGTGCTAGTCCCTGCTTACTGCTTTGCAAATTTTTGATGAATTGTTTCCCATGTTTTCACGATAACAGGATTTTCGTTAATAAACGCCTATCCGTTCAGCCTTAAGTACGAGTCAGATTAAGACAACTAAGTTATATGTTGGAATTCTTTATGTCCTAGAAAATATTTTCTTGACGTGCCTCATAATTACACATGAAGGTTTGGCATCTTGGAAGGAACCATTCGGCATCCGTATAAGATATCTTTCCAGATTCGATATTTTAGTTCCTACAATTAATCGGCCACTCATGCGGTCATGAAGTTGATCACCGAAATTTCTTTTGACAGCTTGTTTCTTTAATTTGATCATAATCTGTCTAAGCTTCAGATTATTCTGATAAATCATTGTATGAGATTGTGCACTTTTACAGCATTCAAAGTTTATATACTTTACATGATTTATTAGCAGTTCTTTGACAGTTTCGTAGGGAGGTGAAACAGATTTATCCAGAAATTTCAAATTCTGTGGCATGCTATTGGCATCCTTTTTGATGAATTTAAATGAATGGACCGCGGTTTCTTCATTCTTAACATTTTTCCTGATCATACTCCAGATTTAAAACCTTTCCATTTAATCCTAAAACGTTTCAAGATTTGGATGTTTATCTAACTGTTCCATCACAAACTCCATCGTGACGCAAATAAGATGGTGGTCGAATTGACTTGATAACTAAAAATTACTAGAACAGTCCGACTTAAATCGAATAGAAACAGATGAATACAAGCGGACGTATGATATTACGAACGATAGCTACAAAAAGGAGTACTTTATACATGAACGGATAATTTGGTTATCATGTTTCATGGACAGCCGATATGTGCGGCGTATAACTATTAAGAGTCTAAAAAAATATACGTGTGTGCGTGAAATGAGGTCAACGTAATATTTGTCGAAACAGAAGGTAGGGAATTTCAAACATGATTTGTGTAACAGATTGTAAACATCATATTAACACCTTCAATTTTGATTGTTGAACTGCATTTGTCCCACGCTATTACTGATTATAATTAGTTGCATTATTATCAGTTACATTAATAATGACAAGAACGTTTCGTAAGATTTTCTAGCGTTTCGTACAATAAGCAAATGTATTTCTAGAAGGCACTTTTTGGTAGACTTAAAAAGAACCTTTTTTCTGGTAGATCCAAAATATATTTTCGGTATGCTGATTGACTTGAACAACGATGTAATTTAACCGAGCATACTAGTCTACGACCCTGTAAGTGGTCTAAAGCACTTAAAATACAGAACGACCACCTTAAGTTTTAATTCCAGAATTACGAATTTCCACTTTATTCAGTTCTTAACAATGGAAATAAGTGGATGTCCAAAAGTCCTTGTCAGTAACAGCCACTAAATTGATGACAAATGAGAGTATTTTATAACTTGGAAGAATCTCTTAAATGATATGTTATGTTTAAATCTACTATGGATGTGCGAAGAGAGGTAATGTTATCGCGGGACGAATATTGGGAAAGTTGAAACATTGGGTGATATCCTTCGGATTATTAATAATATCATTTGTTGTATTATTAGCAGACGATTTTATTGTCGCATTTCTAAGTTCTCATTCTTGTGAGCTTTCAATGTACATTTCAATGTTATTAAACGTTTTACAATCCCCTAATTATCGCTAAGTATGTTCTCTCAGCTTCGACCTATATCATTTATATTAAAATTGTAATTGAAGTTCTACTTGACTAAACGTTTACAGTATATTCTCGAAATAGTTTTTAGTCATAATGGGATTAGGGATATTAAAGGACTTGTCTGTCAATTACCATCATTTTCTGATTGACTACTAGGTTAGAAAGGGCCTTGAGGACCAATAGGCGTTGAGGTCTTGGTTATCGCTCATTGGCCAGTGTACAAATCGGTGAAACAGGTCACCGGTTCGATTGATAGTAAAGCATGAGATATGGATCGGAAATTGCAAGTCATAACAAATCGTAGGTGTTCTCGAAATGTAACAGGAAAAACACCTCCTGAGGAAGACTTCGTCTTTAAAAAACTGTCTACTGCTTCAAATGATGATTTAAAACCAATTGTCATGTATCGTTTTCATCTAGCCTGCTCCAGCATGTATAGAACTTCCTAAAAAGTTGATTTATAATTTGAACGATCACGAGATGTCTAATCCTTCCACAGCCAGGGAAGTTCTACTCACTGCCTTCTCGCACCACGGGTGTTGTTTACACAATTGAGAGAACGGAAAGCGAATGTCCAGAGATTTAACCGGGTTGGTGGACACGGAGAGTTCACCTAGGGGAGTTGGCAAACCTTGAATCCAAACCAATGGTTCACATGGGCTCCATTATCCTGAAGGAAAAATGGAATACGAACCTATTGTTGGTCACTGGCTACAATGGGAGTGCATCTGCTTACGTTGCTCCACTGCATTGTGAACTAGACCTTTAGGTGGAAGGCTCCGGGTGTAGCCCCCTTAGAAAACCACCTGCTACGGTTTAGGCACCCGAACAGTACCCCACCCCTCACATAAACCGAATGATTTATGTGACGCATATTTGTTTTCTGCCTTCTTGTACTGATGTTTATAAACGTCTTTCCTATACAACCAAGTAGCTGCGAGGTTCGGTCAGTTACATAGTTAGAGTTGTCTATGACTAACGTAAACACATCAAAAATAGATAAAGAGCGCATCTAGATAGAATCGTGCTCTGTGTAAATTGTTAAGACTTTCTTGATTGTTAGAGTTGATGTTTTTAGCTTCTTAGCTCCAACAGTTTAAGCACATTCATTGAACATTATTTCACCGCAGATAAAAGGTTTGATTCACCTAATTTCGCCAAAGATTTATTTCTAGATTTATACAAGTTTTACTACACTACAACACGGTAAGTACTAGCTGAGAAATGACTTCTTAGGAATCCGGAACGAGTTCAGTTAAACGAGTAACTGAAATCTTATATGCCTCTTCATTTTTTTGCATGTAGTAAATGAACACTTACGAATTAAAACCTTCAAAATTCTATATAAATTTACAGAAGCTTATTGTAATACCAACTGTACATAAGAAATGGCAAAGTTATCGAAGTAGCAATAAACAAAAAGACCAAACCTGAAGTTTTCAAAGTATTTGAACCTTTGAATTCAATACAAAAGTACATAGTAATTATCTGAATACTAGTTGTTGTGTAATAATTGTAAAATATTCACCATCGTTTGTCAAAATCAGTATAGTTCGATTGCTACCAATAGTAACTAATTGCTGAATGTTTACTTCAGTAAAAACGGATTTGAATCTCAATTACCAGACTACTTTTTTCAAAAAAATATTTCAGAGAACTTGTTATACATTGTTTGATAAACAAAAACTATACAAAACTAATTGTTTACATATAATGGCAACCCAAGAAGAATGACTACAAATTAAATATACTTATCAGTTTAGGGGTTGTGGAGATTGTTAAGTTTTTGATTGAGATCATGAACCGATTGATGTTAGACAACCATTGAAAACCTGGAAACACTGGGCGGCCGTTTCGTCCAATTGTGGGACTCCTCAGCAATGCGCATCCACGATCCTGCCCGTGGGACTCGAACTCATGATATTAGGTCTCTTGCGCGGACGCTTAAACTAGATCATTGAGCCGGCATCTAACAGTGTTAATGTCTAACCTCAACCAATCCATGAAGTTGCACGACCAGTAGGTTAAACGTTAGCGCGTGAGACTGAAGGCCCTGGGTTCGAATCTGGCGAGCGGGATCGTGGATGCGCACTGCTGAGGAGTCTCGCAATAGAACAAAACGGCCTTCCAGTGCTTCCAGGTTTTCAATGGTGATCTAACATCGATCGGTTCATGACCTCAATCAAAAAATATACTTATATTAAATTAAGGAAGCAGTTTTGAATGTAAACAACTACACAGAAATTGCATTTAGTGAATACTTGTCTGTACAGTTTTAACTCAACCTTCGATATGTTAACAAGCTGACTCATAATTTGATTTTAGTGTTTCGAATAATGTTTGATAAGAGGTTATTATTTCTAATGACCTAATATTATTCAGGTAATAAATGTTAATTCGTTAATTCGTAACTGGCGTTTGTCACATATTTAAATATTTGTTATTACTTCAAACAACAGAATTAAACAGCCCATATTGTCAAATTGATTCAATGAACAGCTTGTTGATACTTTTTAAAAATATTATGTTTGAAATGAACCTAAAATAGAATATTTAGATTTGATGAATTTATCCAAAGCAATAAAAGAAGATTATCTGCTCACAAATTTGGTTAGATCTTTTAACGTTAATGTTTATTCAATAGATCGACATAAGATAAAAATATTTAAATTTATCAGCCTGAAGTTAAATAAAGTTTAAATATGGATTAAGTGGAACAGAAGATACATAGTAAAGCATACGTAAACCAAATTTACAAATCAAAAACCAACTAATTTGAGTTTGTTTATCTGAAGTAACATTTGCCATTAGATATCTGATCTACATTCTTATTTGTTGACATCTAATAAAATGATCTTGGAGATCAAAATGAGTCAGATTTCGTAAAGAATACTCAAAATAATCTAAAAAAGTTTGGAAATACATAGTAACTAATTTTTTAACAGAAAATGAAGTCTTTTTGAGGGAATGTAAACATGTATAAGGTGACAGTTTTTTTTAAATAAAAGTAATAATATAATGACATGAGATTTTGTTTAACTGAAAATCATCAATGAGGTTTAAATATTAATTTAGAGCATATATTGCACATATAAATTAAAGGAATAAATGATTTTTTGGAGGACTTTTCTTATCCTATCTGTTTGTACAGATTGTATCTGTTTGGATGATTTCAAGTAGACTTATGAACTAATTAACTTTCTCCATTCTAAATTATCCTTGGATAAAGATTTATTCTTGAACTACTATCTTTTGTGTTATACTTTTCTGTAGGTCTATAAATTGTACAAGAAGTGTGCGCTTTATTGAGGACTGAAGAATTTTCAACGCTGTCATCATCTTCATCGTAGATGATTTGTTTCTCATCGGAGAAACTTATAGTATTGCTTTTTCTCAGTTTAATAGTTTCATTTCGTGATTGCGCCTGGATTGTATTTGATAACTGACTTACATAACCAGTGTGAATACTACCATCTTGATAAGTTTCCGAATAATCTGTTGAGCACTGATATATCGGTGGTAAACTTCCAATTTGAAAACTGTTTGGCCATTGCATAAAAAATACTGAACTCATTAACGGACCTTTAAATAAAATGTAAAGTGGTTTATCAAGTTTTTATATGACAAACACTGAATAATAAATAAAACTCAGTGTTCACTGAAATGTGCGATATTGAGTTTGTAATGGCTTTGCTTCGTTAATGGGTCACCTCGATAACCGTTATAACATAAATTTCAACGGTGTTTGAAATCAGAAGGCAATGAGAAGCGGCAACTACAGTTTATTAGCGGGTAGCGCAGATCACAAAGCTATAAGCACATCAAACGTATTTGAAGCAGAGGCGAATACGTATATGTAAACAAATACAGGCAAGTTTATAGTTAAATCTCATAAGGGCACAGCAAGGCAAAAGAAAAGCTAACAATAGGATTTGAGTACATATATATCTGGTGAGGAGAGTGAATCATGGAGTGATATTTAAGGGATCCACATTTTAGCTAGAGTCTGTCATTTGATCTAGTGACCGTACAGTACAAAGAAATATGTGAATTGTTACTGTTCTAATAACATTATCTGTTCAGTAAGTTAATAAAAGGACTTGACCAAAATTAACCACAATTGAAATTGGTTGTAAGATAGTTGCTATACATTTTTTGTCACTGTACACAAATATGAGCGTAATAATGAAAATACCCATTATGATATTTAGTAAAAAGAGCGAAGAAGTCTCTTTTCAACTAGCATTACAATTCCTAAATGATGCTACCGAATAAACTGTAACTCTGTGGTTACGAAAGGCGGTGCAGAAAAAATCAACTGCAGATAAACTGAATATGGTTTTCTGTAGCCAACTCGACAATAAAAACCATTAATCAAGACAGTGCTTGAATTCGTCATATCCATATACGTTTACCAATTCACCTGCTCCATTGGAGCCAGCTATAAAGTGTGTACCATTCGGCGAGTCCATTATCATATAGCAGAACACCATCCATCTCAGTTGAGCAAAGGACAGATAAATGTGACTAAGAGTTCTATTCTCGCTTACTTGGCAAACACAAGTCGCCAAGTTGACTTGAATAAAGATTTTGAGGTTATCCACCACGTTCCATCAACTTTACCACATCGTTTACGAGTTCGTCTGTCGCATATTCCTGAAGCTATCGGAATCTATGTTCGCAAATTAACTTTTGGATCTAAAAGGAGTTTCTACAATCGCTCACACCACCATGGCCATCGGTATTGGAGTTAGCTGGACTTTAATTAAACTATTTTCTTCAAAAGTATTTCAACAATATTTCAATTTCTTCTATTGCTGTATTTTTCCATATTTTCAATATTCATCTCTTGATTTTTACATAACTATTATATTACTGACCTATATCAAAATATTTTATTAGCTCTTTTTATATATTATGCAATGTGACAACTATTTGATTTTCCAGATAATTACTTTTATTGTTAAGATCCTCTTTCTCCCAGTTATTCAATATTATTTCATAATCAAAGTGACATTATATGATTATTGCGTAACACAACGACTCGACGAGAGTAGATTTATTCGTTTTGTTTGATCTTTTTATAAGCATTTCAGAAAGTTCTAGGAAAAGTTATTCAATCCAAAACTTTTCATGATATCTTCAATGGTGTAGGTAGTTTCACAGCAAATTAACACAGGATTTCAAATGTTGTGAAAGTCTATTTTGTTCTATACTATAACTGCATATGACTTAGTATATGTAAAATTTCTTTTCATCAAATATAACACATATTAACATAAACCTAGCACCCTGATCTTTGAATCACACTATCTAGATTATATATTGAGGTATAATATCCAACACATTCAAGTTAATAGTCGAGAATATATCAAATCACTAGGATTATTAATCACATATAAAAAACGAGCGAGAAATTAAGGTCACAAAACAGTCAAGACGGAAAGAAATTACAACTATTGGTTTGTTTAGTAGTTCTGTGACATCAATGATTACAGTTTTGTGCTAATCTAGATCTGGTTTTCCGAAGGCTATATATTATGAATGTAGTTCAGTATCTACAAGAAGAAGCTTCTCTTTAGAGATTTTTGTGAAATGTGATATAGCGTCTACATCGTTACAAAATTCCGGTCGTGATATACTCAGTGCTTAGTTTAGCAGAAAATCTTCCAAAGGTCTTAGACTGGAACCCTGAGCGCGGGACCGTGATTACGCACTGCTTGGAAGTTCCATACTAGGATGAAACGATCGTTCAATGCTTACAGGTTTTCAATGATGGTCTAACAATGATCAATTCATGATCTCAATCAGAAAAGTTTCCATTGCCAATCAATTCTTTTCTCTTTTTAACTTATGAGCAGATATTGTTCATAAAAGACGATGAGAGATAACCAAGATATCTAAATGCTATTCATATCAATTAGTTATGTTGAACAAATAGAATCAGGGAGCTCTAGTTAACCAAATATATAAGGTTTTTTTAAGGATACAACTTTCCAAATGATATTGCATAAATGAATGTCAATTTTCATCGAATAACAAGTATCTATAATATTATATTTCAAACTAACTACTTAATTCTCACAAATCCTGACCATGTTTTACATGACAGTCAAGTATTACCAATGTCAAATATGGAAATAAATGTACAAGTTTAAATATTCAAACTTATAAAAAATATATCATATTACACTTCATATTTAAGGGCTTTCTTTTATGTAGGTGTAAACATAAGTGTAGTAATCTATATTATTTTACAAAGAAAATATATGTCATTTCAAATAAGGTAAATTCTATCATTTCATTTGGTTAAGGATAAATTTTAGAAGGAATATATTTGATTAAAAAGAACTAAAAACGGTTAAAGATTTTATACGAATATCCGTCAAGATTAGAAAGAATAGTTTGACAGAATTTGGACGCCGAGTATAGAGAAGTCATTATATACGAAAATTATATTTGAAATAATCTCAGTGGTTGAAATTTAAATAATTCCAACGTTTTACCCAGCTAACTTGTCTGAACTTCTTTAATTGCTGAAATTATTTCCAATATAATTTTCACAAATAATGGTTAGATATTTTTCTTTAATTCACTGAAATTCGATGACAAATGACTATATGGATAAACGTTATTCAAGGGTAAATCTTATGATCTTTAAATTATTTTCAGACTGTGTGGTGAACTGTACAAGATTTATATGCTAGATATAAAGATCAAAATAACGTCTAATATTACCAGAGAACTCTTTGGGTTAATATGATAAGATTATTAAGAGAGCTAACGAGTGAATTCTCCTATGTTGTTCTTTGTTATGTGTAAAAGATTATAAGCAGTATGGCGGAACATAGTTTGTATTGTCAACCTGTGGTGATACATTTACAATACATGTAATATAGTATATAATGAACTAAAGTGAAATTAAAACAAGACGATTAGTTGAAAGCTGCAACTTACACTCAGCTTGTTGTGATTCCATTTGATTGTAAGCCTCTATTTGTTGATCATTTGTTCCAATAATAATCGGAATGGGTAGTAAAAGATCGTGATGAATACGAGCAAACCGTTTAAACTCCTTTTCTTTACCTCGTTTGCACTGTTGAAATGTAATAATTTGAGGTTTCTTCGACATTAATTCATATGTACCATTGCTACTGCTACCTGTTTCATGCATATAAACAAATTCCATAAATTTATCTGGTTTAACCGAAGCAATATCATTCTCTAAAACCCATTTAGTGAACTTCAATGGGTGTTTTAATTTTTTCAGTTTGAAACTAACCAGTCCTAGACTGTATGCAATGTCTATACATGAACAACCTTCTAAACCCGTTGGTGGTAACGAAGGCAAGTGAAATGTATGCTCTAATGCAACTCGTAATAAATGTTTTTCAGACGTAGGACGCTTTCTCATTTCGCCACTGTAAACATCTCTCTCCTCTTGAGCAATAACACGGTGAGTCCAGTCTCGATAAGTTATTACCTGGGGAAAAAAGGAACTATATTTACATATAAACGGATAGTTTCACAATATTTCGGCACCAAGTTAATGTGAGACATTAAAGAGGAAAAATGTATTTGTAAAATCTCAGCGAATGAATTTGAATTTGGATTTATTTCAAATTCATTCGCTGAGATTTTACAAATACATTTTTCCTCTTTAATATATTTATATAATTTGAAATTGTCTGAACTGCATTGCAAACCTGTAAGAAATTTGTTGAGTGGATTCACAAATCACAAATTCAGCAGTAATCTTTAGTTGAAATTGAAGTATTGTCGGTCACTATGATTTATATTAATACTGCACATACTTTGCAAAAATTAATGTTCCTAACATGATTTCCAGCTTACTCGATTTGTACTTCAGAAAAAGAATTTGTTTTCAACCATTTTGTATGACTTGAATTGACTAGGTTTGTGCTTATTCTATGATATTTCTTGAAGAAATGTGTGTTCGATCATTTTTAAGCTGAAATTAGTTTAATGAATCAGATGTTTATGCAAAACATCCTATTTCGTTATTATTAAAGGTTAATTGAGTACTAAATTCTCTATGGATTCGTAAAGTATGAAGTTGTGGCAGATAAAATCTATTTTCATTGGAAATGAATCAGATTTAACCAGTGACATTAGATGATCATCGTGCTAGTCTAAGAATCAAATGAAATTAAGAGTATGAATTACTGGATTCCCAGTGTGATATGCGGACAAATACATGTAGTATGTAGCAGGACTTGAAAGTAGAATGCTTACCAGTAGAAGATTGAAACAAAGAGAGAATAAAAGAAAACAGCGGAAGATCAAAATAACAACCTTATTTTCAAAATATAGTATTAAGGAAAACTAGACTTTATGATTACTTTCATAAATAATCTCTATATATATTAGATGGTTCCGATCAATAAAGTTAGCATTTTGCAAACACTGGGTGAAATCTTATTATTGAAGACCATTACATAATGAACTATACTGGCAGAGTAAAACAAGTGATTATTTCTTGAAATAATGAAGTCATCTGGCTTATATCATTCCAATGTAATGAAGTATCTGCTTTCAATGTAACATGTTACAGACTTAATTACTATGTAATGATAAGACATTATCGAATAGAATTCACTTAACATATCAGATTTCTGAATGATCGACTATCAAATAGACAGTGTATTTTCTAAGATTTAGTACTAGACATTCTTCTTTAATATTTTTTAACAATATATATACATCTGGAAAAAAATGAGTAATTTACTAAACCAATGCATGGTTTGTAAACGCACCGTCTCAATGACAGCATTTGTACTGTACTTGTTCAGTTATGTAATATTTCAATACTGCTATCAGAGATGTAAATATCTTTCTAATAAATACTACTGAGTATGATTGAAACGAATTTTAGCGTATCTTATTTGTAAAGGTCATGTATCTTATAACTTGTAAAGTGAATTGTACCGTTATTCTACCTAAATATGGGTTCACTATGTTCATTAATCAATAAATTTTTTATCAGAACATTGGACAATGGATTTAAAACAATCATCAATAAGAAGCTGATTTATCTATATTTTTCTTTAGCAAAAATATTATTTGCAAACTGAAACCGAAATAATTACTGATTACGTAATTTATTCAATATTTTACTTAATAAAAAGAAAATAAATTCAAACAAATTATTTACTGCAGCATTTAGTTGAAAGTGAACTAAATTTTCCTGAGCTTGATGATTCAGAGTTGATATTATTTATAAGTGCCAATAGTATAAAAACAAACAAGATGCAGGTCTCATATATAAATGTTACATACCTGGCGTAGTACTAAAAATATTCTGTGTCGTTGTTTAACATATCCTGACCACCATATACCACTAAGTTGTTGACTCTCGTTACTAAACTTTTGCCGTATACAATCTTCTAAATAATACGAAACAAATGCTCTTGCCAATGGACTCCATAAGTCTTTTTTACATGAATTAATATTTGTATTAAATTTTGCACACCAATTCAAATCACTCGACATACCATTGAGCGATGGAGCTATCAGAAGCGCGAACGGATCTTCCACTAGTAAACTTAAACATGCTGTCAATCGACTGCCTGGATTAAGTTGACGTTGACTGACAGTTAATCTGCAAGAAATTGGATATCCTGTTTGAGCACCAAGACATGTACGTGGATATATTGCATAGGATGAACCGTAGGATTGAGAAATCCATGTAGAAGGTAATGGATATGGATTATCACTGCATCGTTGTACAGTTAATGTTGTTTTACTTAATGAATTATAGAGTGCCGTTTTCATTTTCATAGCACGATTAAAATGAGGTTTACATATTGATTGCATGCTATTATTATTTCGATCATTTTCATTATTTAGATATTGATTCTCATCTTCTGTTGATTGCATAGAATTTAAATATGGATTACTTTGATGTGAATCATTTAAACAAGAACTCAATGAATATTTAGTTAATTTTGTCGTATCATCTAGATCAGTGTTAGAGTAAGCACTTTGACCTAATGATGATAAATGATCTGGTATATAATCGTTTGTAAAAGTGGAATCTAACACTGAATTTTTCTCAATTAATTTTCCATCACTGTTATCATATTCATCTAGAATATTTTCCATTTCATTTTTACATAAATTTGATAATCGTAAACATGTTCTTGATAAGTTTTTAAATTTCACTGTGTTGCTGCCAGATGATATGAATTGATCAAAACTGCTCACATAATTTCTGGTAATTGGAGGACAAGCTAATGTACTTGGAATCACCTGTAAATTGTAGACAAAAAACAAGATTTAAAAAAACTATTCTTTTATGACAGTAAATTGATTAAATTCTGTGAATAAAGCTGAACTATACGATGAAGTTTGCGAAGAATTCTTGACCGATTTTGACCAATTACAAAGGACAATGTGAACGAATAATTGACTCACGATCTCAACTAATAAAAATTACTATAATAGCCACAAAATACCTTCTGATATTAATTAACATATGCTCAATAGTGACGGTCTCCAAGAGGTATTTTCTGGAGTTGTAATGAGAAGCAGTGACCAGTGGAGTTCAACCGGGTCTGTTGTGAGATAGCAACTCACTGAAGACAATGGTGGATGTGTCGCTCAGTTTCGTGGATTACTTGAAGTTAGACATTAATACTGTTGGATGCTGGCTCAGTGGTCTAATGGTTAAGCGCTCGCGCGCGATACTGATAGGTCCTGGGTTCAAATCTTGCGAAGCGGGATCGTGAATGTGCACTGCTGAGGAGTCCCACAATAGGACAAAACGGCCGTCCAGTGCTTTCCAGATTTTCTATGGTGGTCTAGCCTCAATTGACTCATGATTTCAAGTATCCACAAAAACCCTTCTGATATTAATAAATAATTCATAATATTCGAACTATGATTGTGGTTTATGGTCAAGAATCGAGAATCGGATGTAGAGTTAGAGTACTGATATACTAATCCAAAAGCCTAATATCAACCATAATTCATAACCTGAAATCGTAAAACATAACTGCAAATCTTATTATAAATCTTGGTTTCAACCCTAATGATAATTTGTTATTAAAATATACCACTGTGGTCTCTGAATATATAAAAATATTTTTATGGTTGAAATTATTCATCATACAATTAACAGGTAACAATTCACCAGTGATAACATCTATTTTGTGATCGGTAGATGACATGTTATCTTGATATATCCACCGTGACCTTGTAATGATTTACGTATTTATATCTGGCTTGATAGTTGTTAGGGTTTGAAAAGAGAGAGAGCTATCACGGGTTCAAGTAGTCTGCGTACGAGAACGAGATTCGAGGATTCGGTGACCAAGGTCCAGTAAGCTAGCTATTGCTGCGCCCCAGCCCCGCTATCAAGAGGGAGAAGTCCAAGCTTGAAATAAGAAGTGTATTCTGCAGCAACCAGAGAAAAGAGCGAAGTCCCTTTAGTAGAAAATATACTCGTTTATATATTGATTGTACACCCGTTTTGATTAATAATTAGAAGAAAATCACATACATGAAAAATACTCACAGTTATAACAAATCATATTCTGAGTATAGTTCATAGTCAATGGAATACAAGAATATTGTATATTATACAGAATAAATATCATACGAGAAAAGAAAAGAAATATTACATTGCGTAATCATTACATTGAATCAAAAGAATGTAATGATGAATAAAACTCATATTAAGTAAATCAATCGAATATTGATTTTTCCTCCCATCATATCAATAGTATAATTCAGGTTTACTGATTTTGTACTTTTCTGAAGTTTTTTTATTTCAAAAAAAGTACTATGAATGTTCGTGGCTTAGAATGTTTATGATTTTTCTATTTGATTAAAACTATAACTTTTAATTAGAAATAAATATTACCTACATCCTTCGTGAGATTTAAAACACTAGTTTACAACAGTTGTTTACAGGGTTGAATCCACAAGTCGATCTAAGCTAGACCATCATTAAAAACCAGGAAGCATTGTACAGCCGTTTCATCCTAGTATGGGGATCCTGAACAGTGCGCATACATGATCCCGTACGCCTGAATCCAATTGTGAAAGTACTGCAATCTCCACAAATCCCCATATTGATAAAAATTGTGTAATTGATTGATGTGGTTATTTTACAATGTTCATATCAATAATGAACATCTCTAGAATTAGAAAAGATTCATGTGATGATAAAAAAGACTCTTAATCTATTGATGAACATGCTTAGACTGCCATGATTGAACTCTACTATTTTCCTAACACAAATGTCCATTAAAATGTCAGAACCACCTATTTTTCCACTGTACAAACATTTCAGTTAACCTTACTGCCTTACATGTGTTTGAACTGAATAGTTATGAATGTTAACTAAACTAAATAGAATAACAGAAACTTTTAATAATCAGATACTGGTTGAGGATATTGGTTGCTAGGAATATTTTTAAAATATGCTATAAATAATTGTAGATTGAATGTACATTAAAAAGAACATTTCTTGTATTCATGTACAAACAGTACTAAGGATTCTCTACTACAACATAATTAACAGTACTAAATGAATCTATTATTAATATCATTAATGATATCGTTAATCAACATTGATGATCAACCTTGAAGATCTTAAATTAATTTTGAGTTATCCTGTCAAGTCCCAATCAGGATAGCTCATAAAAAGTACACAAATCTCTTCATTATTTCCTAGTCAATGATCATTCATATGATTTTAATATGGAATAAATATTACTTAGGAATTGTATTTTATTATTGAGATTTATCAGTGCATATTTAGAAATGTAATAATAATACAGGTAATGGGCAAGTTATGTTTGTCATGTATGTGGACTGCTCATAAGTTTCATGCTAGGAATAAATAGTTATCCGGTGCTTCTTAGTGTTTGTTAATGGTCTAGTTGAAATTCATGCATAATTTAAATCATGAAGATATATTTTGAGCATTTACTTTGATATCGAATAGCTCATTCAAAACTGAACACTTAAACAATTCAAATATTGATTATTGATTTGTTATGTAAGAGTTGCTGACACAATAAATTTTATTGATCAAGTATATGAACAAACAACAGTTACTTAAGAAAGAATTTGTCCAAGTACAAGTCTTTTATATAGCGAAACACTGAATGGAAAAATACCCAATTAATGCAAATTACTTTCATTCAAATAGTTAAAAGGAAAATGTTTCAATAATTCAGTATCATACCATCATTTTGTTAATGATCGATTTACGTAAAACCTTTAATCCTTTATCCGCGCATAATTGTTCCCCATTCGATAGTAATAGATAAACTCTTAGCCTGTATTCAACACTACCTCTTGAACCAACAAATGAGCATGGACAAGCTGCAGGTAATTCAAATTCAAATTGAAAGTATCGTTTACCAGCTAAAATAAGTTCACAACTTCCAGGGATACCTGCAATAAATTCAAGGATACAAAGAGAAAAACTTATTTTATTTGAGATTTTGGTTAATACTAGGGAAGCGACCGTTTTTATTTGTATATAACTTATTCACTAACTCAAAAACTCGATGGTAATATCTATTACAGTTAAAAGAGAATAAATAACGGTATGACAATTTAAGAAAGTATGAGGATTTATTGGGATTGTATTATTTTGACAATCGAATTTACGTGTCAATCTAGGCTAGACCAACACTGAAAACCTGGGCTCATTGGACGGCCGTTTTTTCTAGTATCGGAATCCCAAATAGTGTGCATCTACGATCCCGCATGTGTGGCTCGAAACCAGGGCCTTCTGTCTCGCGTGCGGGATCATGGATATACACTGTTGAGGAGTCCCATACTAGGACGAAACGGCCTTTTAATACTTCCAGGTTCTCAGTAGTGGTCTACTTTAGATCAACTCATATATTCAAATGTTGAAATTTAAGAATGCATTATCATTTTCAATGTCATAGGTTCTCTTCAATGATGAACATAAATCAATGACAGAAATGTCTTCTGTTTTTCTACATCCATCAATTGAAATAAAAAACCCTTAGAAGACGGCAGATTCGAATAATCTAAAGTGAGAAAATAAGCAGTTCTGCTGTTATACTCTGTAAGTCACATGAATGGATAAACTTCCTGAATCTGTATTACACAGTATTCGTGATCATTGATCACTCAGTAATTAGTGTCTAGTTATTAGTATTTATCAAATGCTAAAGACTATGTTACTGCCTAACAGTTCGGTACTAACTTTGCTTAAGTGGAGTTTCCCTATTGATTGACTAAATTCCCATCGTTTTATTACGATACATGTGAACCATTATGGTTTATCCTGACTACATAATTGGTAAACACAGTTAAATAAACCTACACAGTCTGAATAATCCAGGAATATACCAAATAATGATCACATAGTGAATTAGTCAAACTTATTTTAACAATCCTTAGAAGCACCTACGGCATTGTTAAGCGGTTATTTGTTCAAATTATGTATCTGTTGTATGAATAACTTAATTTGATTTACATTAACTGAATATCCCCAAAAATACAATGTAAAACGCAATATTTTTTGTGTGAATATTGAATCTAGACCTGTGGTAACTACTAGCATGAGAAAATTAAATATTCTGAACATTTTCGAAATTTTTACTCTTTGTTTTTAACAATAATAACCATTTCTAAAGGTCATTTTCGACAAACGGTTGCTTAAATATACTCAAATTCATCAGCTGACCTCAAATAGACATATACACGGTGTTCCGGAAGCGGAAGGAGGCGGATGCGAAAGTAACATAAAATCTATATTTTAGGAAAGTGGTTCATAAATACTGATTTAATATGAATATACATTTACATCACATGCCTAAATTAAAAAGAAAAACTAACTAAAACCAGAGAATATTCAATGGTCTGACTAGGTGATTTTATGTTCTTGACATTCGAGAGAAACAGGATAATCATGTGTTGAATCCTTTTTGGGGTCGTGAATACAACGTTCAATTGATTTTTATTGCGAACGGCGTTTTGATAGTTTTTCAGCTTATGTCAACCTGTGATGCACAGAGTATACAAAATGGATCTGTTTGAGAACATTCATATCTTATTTGGCTGCAACGTTTTTGTGGAGCTTAAATCAATAAGGAAAATAATGAATAAGAAACCAGACTGATACACATGTTGATTTGAAAAAAAGCTCCTTTCTGAAGTGAAATAATTCAATTTTTTAACTACAAAGAATGTATGTTATTTTAAATGATCCATGAAATATTACTGTATTTGATAACTGAAATTTTTTATCTAAACAACTATCAACTAAACGGAAGGTGTTTATATACTCTCAACAGTTACTGAAAAGAATGTAATGAATGGTAATATTTTACGATGAATGATTTGATAATAAACATCAGTTAGACGTTAAAATAATCATCTAATCTAAAATTGTTTATTTCAATGTATGGAAATACTGTCAAATTAAATTACTAAACACTCCATTAACTATGATTTTTAAATGTATAGACTGTTTTTTTGTGTACGAAGGTATACTTATACACTATTTCAGTAGTGTTTTTTAAAGCTAACTGTAACACCAAACCACTTTCATCGTTTTTACCTTGGAAATACAATCAGTAAATAATCAGCAGATCCCAATTGTCGAGATCATGAGTCAATTGAGGCTAGACCACCATAGAAAATCTGGAAAGCACTGGACGGCCGTTTTGTCCTATTGTGGGACTCCTCAGCAGTGCACATTCACGATCCCGCTTCGCAAGATTTGAACCCAGGACCTATCAGTATCGCGCGCGAGCGCTTAACCATTAGACCACTGAGCCGGCATCCAACGGTGTTAATGTTAGTAATTTCAATTGTTGTGATCAACAATTGAAATTACTAAAATCTCCACAAAACCCCCTTCTGATAATAATCAGCAGATCATTTATACTTTTGAGACTTTAAGAAAAGATCAACATTAGATACAGTTAATTTTTGATATTTTATCTAACTGAATAAGTTTCTACAAACATTTACTACTGCCTATTAAAAACTTGGTTTCCTGTACATCTCTTGGTAGCCTATTCACTACATGAATTGCTGCGTGGAATTGAATGTCTTGGAACTTTTATGAATGCTACGTTTTGAAGACGATTTCAAAAGTTACGGGGAAAAGCTGATATTATTGCTTCAGTCAGTGTATGATTTGGGTCAATATCTGTCCTACCCTAAACGTAGCTAAACTGCACTAGTTATAGCTTCTCACTTGAGCTATATATATATATATATATATATATATATATATATATATATATATATATATATATATATATATATATATTTATATATATATATATTTATATATTTATATATTTATATATTTATATATTTATATATTTATATATATATATATTTATAAATATACATATATGATAGGATATTATAGAACTTTATATGACCACAAATTCCTCATAAAACCTTTTCACAAATGAGCAACTTATGAAGAAATCAGATGGCCTGATGAGACTATCTTCTCAAGGAAAGTTCGATCAATTACGAGTAACATATCGGGGAAAATTTACATAAACGAGGTATGAATACTTTACAAACTGAAAACATGTTACTGAGAGACTTTGCTCACTAAATACTCAGGAATCTCGTTAATACAGTTTTTGCAGAGATAGTCGTTGAGAAAGTACTAATCCATCTTAAAGGAACTTAAAATTATTCTAAAGGTTTTATTTAAAGAAATGGGATGTTAGCTATGAGCACAGTTTTGTATGAATTATTCACAATAATATAAAAATACAAGAGCGTGATCACGTTGCTGGATATAAATTCTTTGTGTACTGGAAATTAAAGAGTGATATATTGTATGAGGTTATTGTAAGCTATACAAAATGACTTCTATATTTTAGGAAAACTTCCCTCCATTTCCACTAGTACCTTATTCTAATAATCTATCATCAATGAACCACTACAAATAAAAGACATAAGATTCTTCATGTAAACTTATGAATTCTCTATTATGAGGGCGTTTCCCTACAAGATATTTTATGAGGCATTTAAATATAAAAAAGATAATGGGGAGAATAGCAGATTTTTTCTAAAAAGCATTTACGTTAGTTGATGTAGAAGTAAAATTAAAGGATTTCGCAGACTATATAATTAAGAAATAGTATCAGTTCATGAAGTCACAGACTACTGATCCGGATGATGATGACACATTACCTGATTGAAATAAGAAAATTAACCGTAATCTGTGGCTGAAGAATTTGCATGACATGGCTTGTATCAATCAAAAAGGTCCAGATCCATTCACTCTTTCATCTTGAATTACAGTATTCTTTTAGGTACACTTTATATTTACATCTTTAACAATGATGTTCCCAATGTTTAGTTTTTCTCATTATTATTGCTGCTAAATTATTTGGATCTCTCTAGCTATTCATCTTGTCATTTATATTTCATCATACTAATGTGGTATGGCACCTGGGGCCAACGCACATTTATCAGGCTCCATATTAGTGATGATTGACCAACTTTGAAGTAATTGGATAATCTTTTATCAACAAGTTACCAAGAAATGTTTTTTGTTGTTATGCCTTTTATGTTTTCTCAGAAACATTCCTACATTAAATTTTAACTGAAAAGGTACTTTTATTTAAACAAAATTTCAACCAGTCAATATTGGTTAATAGATTTTACAATAAAGAACTGTGAATCTCCAAATACCCAACAGTTGTGCTCTTCGTATTTATTGAATAACTGGAGTGTATAGACATAACTCCATAACTGAAGTCTTTGTTTTCACAAAATAATATTCTTTATATTCACTTGGTGTTGTTTTACTTGTATCTTCCCATTGTTATTTAGGACTGCAATCGATCAGTCTCTTATTGGCATATGTGCATCCTGTGCGGATTGCCTCGATGTAGCCTTAAGTCAAAATATTCTATATGTATATCATTAAAACAAATTGTACAAATAAAATGAAATTGTGATAATCTCTATTTAATATTCTGTTAGTCAAAGTTAATCATTCACTATTTAACTTCTTTATTTCAGTATACAAATCGATTAATCTAACTTATATCCTTTCTTACTTCAAGATAAATGAGTCATTATCATCATCAACATCATTTATCTCTTTGTTATTATCGAAATTTTGTTTTATTTTTCTACGTTAATCAAGTTATAGATGACAAGTTACCGTTTCAGTCTAATAACCGTATGTAATATCAAAAATAAAAAAATAGAAAAAAATAGATATAAAAACTGATCAAATTTTTTTATGTTTAGTTGCTTGTTTGTGTGCTCGCAAGAAACAAAAAAGAAAAAAAAGAAAAAGAAAAATGGTGCACAAACTGACGTTAAATAAATAAGTGCTATTTATCAATTCTTTTCACAATTTCAATTTAACATTGTTTATAAGAGTGAATAAAACAAAATATACTTTGATTCAGATGTAAATAAATAAATGATTATTAAATGTGATATAATTTAGATAATAATAAGCTTAACTTAATCTGAACCATTTCATCCTGGTATTAGTAAGGGATTAAAATGAGAATAGGATTATCCTATGAAAATAGATGAATAGAGAAGTATATTATTGATGTCGATATAATTTCTGAAGATGAGTATAAAATTTATTTGGAAGCTTGACCTTATTAGCTAAAGCACTGAAACCTTAGATCTTGAGGATAAAACATAACATTCTTATATCATTGAGTAAAAGTGGAATGTTCCGCTTATGCCCACCTTAAATGATTATTTCATTCCATAAATCATATAAGTTTTACTAAATTAAAAGCTCTTGGTACAACTTCAGGATTTTATATCAAATCTAGTTATTAGTATGTATATAATTTTAATACATAAAAGAGCATGGTAAAAACTGATAGGTGTTAGAATATACAGAAATCGTTTTGTTTTTGTGATTCATCGTATAAATCATCAGTTATCTAAATACATTGGAATATTCAGCAAATGTGAATCGAGAAGCGTAATGCTGGTTAGCGTAGATGTATGTTGAAAGAAAGCATAGGATTAGTCCTGATTAACAGTCGAGCTGAGTTTCGCTGGTAGATTCAAACTATCTGTTTTGGGTCTTGACGATTACCATAACCATTAATTAGAAAGGTTGTGCGACATAGTTCAGGAAAGGTTACAGTGGCCCAGGTGCGTTCACTCTTTATCTTCTCCTAGGTTTTGAGTTCTGCAATTATCGTACACATTTTGTATTCCAGTAATTCATTCTTTCTTCTGCGATCATATTGTCTACATCTAATATTTTCTACTGCCAATTATATAATTATTACTTCTGTCAATCTAGTACTTGTTTTGAAGATTTTGTCCTTCTGTGCTGAAATGGTGTGGAAACTTGGGCCTATGTACATATGTGCCAGGTTTTATATTGCTTATCACTGACTGGCTAGTTTATATACAAAAGGAATTTGTCGTCAATATTCGATTCGAAAATAAATCACATTACAAACCAATTTAGTAGCAGTAATAAGTGTTCTCAAATCTAAGAAAACTAAACTGTACACAAAGAAAGTAAGTCACTACAGTTAGCAAAATATTAGATTGATGTTACATTTTGCTAAAATTAAAGATTTTGATATACTTATTTTATTGTTACGAAATAATGCTAATTGTCATACTTGATTTATTACAACATGATATTTTAAACAGGTTTTTAAAAGAAAACTTTACGTTCATTCTATAAGATTATCCTAGACATACTGCAGCATATGGTAGGTGGCATACTGTCGATGAAACTTATTTGTAATCAACAAAATTCTACTTCAATGACATTTTATTTCTTTGATTATAGGCAAATATGATGTTACAAACTATAAGATAATTCATTATTGTATTGGTCGTTTGAATTATCCCATTTATGTTTAGGATTGTAATTGATCATTTTCTCATTGGCATGTTTGAATTCTGTGCGGATTGCCTCGATATTGTCAGTATGTCACAAGTGTTATAAGATGAGATGGATGGTGTTTAAGAGTGGAATCCAGGACGCGCGTTTTGTCCTATTTGTGACTTGTCAACACACATGCCAATAAGCGACTGATCAATTACAGTCCTAAACGTCAACGGGAAGATTCTAACAACACAATACACAAATGAATTAAACTTCACGTCATTGCACAAAGCAGTGGCTATCTGAATTCACTAGCCACTATCCATCTCTGCTTATAAACTATAAAATAAATTAACAATTTAGAATGTTAGCCGTTTGTGTTGGAGCATACTTGTCTTAGTATTTAATTGATATTTTCTTGGAAAGTAAATAAATCATTGTATCAGATGCTGCATTTTAAAGCAGCTACATATGTGTTCAATCCTTACTTGTTGATTTTAGATAAAAAGACTTCCAAGATTTACACGACTAAAAATTTATTTTCATTAAACAGTTTTATAGATTAAACTTGAATTGTGCTAAAGAAAATTAGTTCAGTAAGACAAGAATAACAAATGTATCAGAATAATTCATTTATTTCATTGATTCTTTTCAACTGCTTAAAACCTAGATATAATAATATTAATTTTGTGTTTACTATTCTACATGTACGTGCCGAAGCACATAGATTGGGAGGACAGAAAAAAGATTTATAGTTCTTAACCGCAAGTAAGTTACAACTAAGAGATCAATATTCTATCATGAGATCGATAGTTCGTCAACTATTTGATAGTGAACAAGGTGGTCTCAATTCGTAATCCTTTAAAGTTGTCGATAAACAAACTGAATATTATATCTTGATGTGACGTTTTAATGTGAATATAATTGTACACAGTTGATATGAAACCACAAAATAAAACGAATTCATGTTATTGTGTCTTATTTGTTGTTTTTGGTTTTATTCAATTTTATAAAGTTATTAAATATACTGGTACTTTTTGTACATTTATTTATTTGAAACATAAACATTTTGAAATCATGGTGTAAATTAAGATGATTACTAAAGTGGGAGATAAAATGTATGACCGATTCAGGTATATTTAACAGTTTGGAATACACGAATTCTAACGAGTAATGAAATCTAGAACCCTTATTTCGACATACTCGGGACTCGTCATCTTGAAGTACCACTATTCCGATCTTGGTATTATTGGTAGGATTGTAACGCATTACCTTTCACTTCAAATTCCTAAAGCGTTATGAGCTACTGAGTTCATAGAGTTACTAACTTATTGAATGAGTGTAATTTTAATATAATTAGTATTAATGGTTTGAGTTAACCGATTGTTCATATTATTAACTGAATTTTTTCCAGTCTTTTTTAGCATAATTACATTTTGCTAGTAGTGACAAGTAATTTATTCCAAAAAACTTAAAACATAAAGTATATATAGAAGCAATCCTCACAGTGATATATTCGATTTAGTCACGAGATATATCAATTGTTGTATTGATCTAAGAGGTTTATTTTTATTATTTCCAAAAATTTCTGATTTTCATAAAATCGCAAACACAATTTAACATACCTCCTCCAATTAAAGTTGAATTCATAGAACAATAAATTTCTTCGTTAACAGTTTGAAATGTCGGTATAAGTTTATTGAATCCTTTCATAGATTTACATTTTAAACGTGTTTGTAATATTTCAGGATCTACTGGTCCATTTATACCCGATATAACACAACCTACGCCTTGATATGACGGAAAGTTTTGTTGTAATGATTTTCTCTCTTTTGTCCAACCCTTTATAAAATGTTTAGAAGAGAATATCTTCTTGTATGGTGTGACAACAACTCCTCTCCCAAGTAGTTCCACTTGCAAAACTGAAGTATGATAAATAAGTACAGATTCTCAATTTTTCACAATAAAAATTGTGGGTCTAAATAAGCATAAACGTCAATGGCATATTGTTTAAAGCTAAATATTTTTATTTTTCAGCACGAAATACAGATTTAATTATATATATTTATATTAGTCTGAGGCCATGATGAAAAACTCATTGAAAGGAAATTTTCTCGCCTTATTCTTCGCTTCACTAAATTTCAAAATGAGAATTTTCACTATGATTAATTACAAATTCAAACAACCATAAGTGATAGTTGGGATTAAAGGAGAGAAAGATAATATTACATAGGAAGTATAGATTGCCACTTCATCTTGGTTCTTAAAATAGATGTATAATCGCTAGTGCAGATTTGAGCTTAGAACAAATTATTTTTTTGATTGTGTTAAGAGGGTCTGATCTTACCACTAAACGGGGCTTCTATAAAGTTAAGAAAACCTTTATGATCATTTCTATAAATGGATTAAAAGCTAATTTAAGATCAAACTTATGACTTGTTTTAGTTATGTGTTTCGCATTCATGAAGCATGATTTTCTTATCTGTATATTTATCGGGGCATTTAATGCTAACTGATCATGCGGCTATTTATGTACATGTTCTATCATTTTTGACTGTAGTATTCCACTACTGTTCCACATGTACGTGTGTCTATGGACACATGCATGTAATTACATTTTAAGCCCTTGGCTGGTATGAATTCTGATACTTTCCATATTACGTGGTTTTTTCTGTGTCTTATTTTAATTTATCTCTTTTCGTTTTGCTACAGTGACCTCTATTAGTTATTAGTGCCTTGAATAGTATGAGTGATCAGATTGTTCGAAATATATTGTATAAATACACCAAATTTTTTAAAATAAACTCCATCTTCTCATTACGCAAACTGAAAATTTTTAAAAGTGCACTAATCATTTTACATTCTTTAATTCTTTAGTTATCAGCGATATACTAAACACAATTTAAATACGATGTGGGAAACTTTTTTTAAAGGCTGTAAATAACCGTATTGTCTGTATTTTTTTTGTCTGATGACTATGTATAATAAACTAGAAATAGGTATACTGTTTTTCTTACAACAACTCAGAAAGAAATACTAATTTTGATGGAAATATGCTAGACATCTATGAAGGCAGTATTTCATTGCACAAAAGTATAAATTCTCAAATGTACATTTAGCATAGTTCATATCTCCCTACTTACTTAGTTACATCTGTTACTCCTCGTGGAGGAGCATAGGCCGCCCACAAGCACATTGATATTATTATCGATATTATACATACAGATAGACATTAATTTGAAGATACAAAATCATGAATACAACTGTATCCAAACGATGCGTTTTAAAATTGAACGCAATAGAAATTAAAGATTTCTCTAACAGATATCTTCAACAACATACTACTAATAATTTGATTAAGTTATTGATGAAATGCAAATTTTTACTGATAATGAACAATATACAATCTTAATAGCTCAATCCATGAGTCGATCTAAGCTTAATGACCACTGAAAACCTAGAGGCACCCGATGGCCGCCTCGTCCTAGTATGGGACTCCTCAACCGTGAGTATCCACGATCCCGCGATCGATACTCGAACTCAGGATCTTTGACCTCGCGCACGAACGCTCAACCTCTAAACCACTATGCTGGCATCCAACAGTGTTTATGTCTAACTGCAATCAATTCATGATCTTACATAACCCTTTATCTATTGTCCGAGGAGTCTCATATCTTCCAGGTTTTTAGTGATGATCTAGCTTGGATTGACTCATGAATTCAACTATTCAAATTACTACAATCTCTATAAATCCTAACTCTGATCATATACAATATGTTTATAGCAATAATAATTATAACAGTTACTTACTTTGTATACTTAAAGCTTCTTTAGTCTCTAGATAAACGTAACCATGAATTAATTGTCCACTAAAACATACCGGTACAATAGATGAATCTAAAATAATATCTAAGAGAATACGTTTTTTCAGTTCATCCATATTTGCATTTTTATATGTAATATATGTATTAGACATTTGATATTAATTAACTTATTATTTAATCACAATATAATGAAAATATAAAAATTAACCGCCGTTTTGTTTTGGAACGAATTTCAACATAATGTACATCATTTCTTTCTAGCATATACTTTAAGTACCGGAATATTAATGATTGAACATATTATTTTTTCTTTCCAAATATGATTTTATGTCATAGTTGAGATTGAATGTTAAAAAGTAAAGTGGAAAAGTTTAAATTCTTTATATGATCACAATGTACATATTAAATTGTTCTCAACAAGAGTATACTAATAACCATTTACTCTTTATGTATATATATATATATATATCTTCATTGAAACTTAAATTTAACACTTCATTAAAACAAAACAATATTAGTAAGCATAAATGTGAACTGATAGTTAGGTATTCATTGTTATTGGTTACTTTTATTCATGTGAATCACACACATATATCTTCATCATAATTTAGTTGGATAAAAAATAATAACAATGAAAATAATAATTTATATCGGATTACATGACTTATTATAAGTATCTAATTAAAAATAAAAAAAGAAAGGAAACAGAATCATTGAAAGAAAGCTTTAACTAGTTTTATGTATGCGATTTGAAAGTCTTAACTAAAATAGATGTCAAGTAAAATAGAAACAAATTGTGTAATATAAGGATGTTCATATTACTCAAGCACATAATACAGTTGTAAATAGTTCAATGCTGTTTATGTTAACAAGACAGTTGTATAATATATAGTGATCAACAATATATTGTATATACATATTCGATACTGGTTGTCTGGATTGATATTAATATTTATGTTAACATCGGTTATACATATACAACAATCAATGTACATATAACACTCAAAACATTTCATTATTAGGACGGTAAAAACAAATACCTATTCACATACCTATATGCAAACATACACAAACTGAAACGATATTGACCAAGTTCACGTTTACTAGAAAAAAACAACAACAACAACATAACATTGAACACGTTATTCCACTGAAGTTTATTTTTATGTGCACAAAATCAATAGAACTAGTGAAATGAGTTGTTAGCAATGTAAATCACTCATGTATACCTAACTGAATGTACCATGTGTTTTTATTTAATGTACATTATTATTATATTTTAAATGTGAAATATACATTCATTGTCATTTAATGTTATTTTATTCAAGGTTTCTAATAAAAAAATTAGTCCTAAATAGTAAAATGACTAAGTGCTACCAAAAACGTTTTGACTTCACATTTACTTTAAAAGTAATAATACCTTAATCTGTTTTGGAGAAGAAGAGAAAATAGAAAAGAACAAAAAGAAGAATACTTAAATTTGTTCAGTTATCTTGAGTTTTCGTCATTTTTAAAGATGAAATAAAAGATAGAGAATTGTGTCAAGTTATTATGGCATTGAATATTGGATGATAAACGTGTTTACAGTTACAATAAATTTAAGGTTAACTAATTAAAAATAATAACATATAATAATGTTTAAGGTGAAATTCAGTCATGTAATGCATAGGTAAAAAAAATGTATGATACAAGTTAAATTAACTTTATTTGTCACTGACTGAATGTAACTGAAAAGAATAGTGATTTGCTTTTAAATTTGAAATAAGAACTGGAGTAGAAACAGTTGGGTGAATTATTCTTGGTTGTTTCTCAGAATTAGGTCAATAGTACTATCGGTTAGACAACATGATATTGTTAAGTGCTGTGTGTCGGTTTGATGCAGAAATTAGAACCAACCACAGTTACGTAGATGGTACTGTGAATAGATGATAAGTTTATTGATGAGGATGTGAATCATAATCAACTGAGGTGGTTGGGAAGAAATCTAATTGACGTCAAAACCAACAAATAATATTAGTTCATGAGATCACAGAAACTTGGGATTAAATTCAGACTGCTTGATTGGCGTCTCTGAGATTGACGTAACAGGTAGTAGGTTATTATATTTAAGGATCAGTTACATTGGAGTAGATGCAGTCATTTCACCCTTTTGTGCTGATATGGTATGACAGCTTGAGTCGAAGTACGTGTGTTTCAGGTTTTATGCTGCTTATGACCAACTATAATAGGTGAAAACAGCTAGACTACAAAGAACAAAAACCCTTTTTCACAATTATTTGTTGAAATATATAGTTCATTTAACTTCAGTAAATGATAAAATAATAAAACGTCACTTGAAGATAAAAAAAGTTTCATTACTTCTGTTTTAAATAATTTTACATGTACTCATTATGCTTATTTTATTAATATAATAGTTATGAATTGAATAAATTTGTAAACACACTATTTGTTAAACAAATAACTAGTCAAATAGTAAAATACAGATTAACTTTCCATAGCTTGATATATAACATTTCATAACCTAGAACTCTATGAAAAACTACGGGTATAATTTATCATCAAATATAAAACAAACTTTGTTGTTACAGTCAGATTTAATTTACATCAACACTAAATCATGTTATATAACAATTGAAAACCTATTGGAATCACACAGCTGTTTTATTTTAATATGGTGTTTTTCAAAAATATGGTAGCCTTAATCTTACTTTGTAACGAATCCTGGAACTTAAGATATCACGTTGAACGATTAGCGTTTAAATCAACTGGTTACCATCTAATGCTTTGTATTTCAAATTTCGGTTAATTCATGATGTTGTCGATTCTACTTGTCCTATCCCTAACACACATCACGGCTTTTCATAAGAAACTCAGGAAGTCTTCTCAAAATTAGACAGCAGTGAGTACATAACTTTTATTCATAGTACAGTTAGTTTATAGAAATTAATCACATTGTTGTTTATAAACTACATTGATCACAAAAACTATTCATCAACATCAACTATACGGAACCTAAAAAAAGTATTTACCTGTTAATCAATTTTCTCTTTACAAATCAATAACATTTCGTTACATTTTAATAATCGAGTATTTTCAGAAGGGGTTTTGTGGAGATTGTAGTAATTTCAATGATTAAGATCATGAGTCAGTTGACTCATGATCTTAATCATTGAAATCGAGTATTTGTAAAATGAAAAATAGTTGGTTTTGATAGGAAATATATGTGAAATATTTCCTTGAAAAAACTTGGACCAGATTGCCAGGCGAAACGCTGGATTTACTTCAAATTCTTTCGCTGAGATTTTACAAATACATTCTTCCTCTTTAATATATGTGAATATTATTTGATGTACAAAGTCAGCCTCTATAATTTGTTTATATTTGTTTTTAATGTTATTGTAATCAATGCCAACATTAATGCTCATTTCAAAATGTTGTTGTTTTTTCAAAGATGGTTCAACATTTCACATTCTACATCTTTTTAATACTTTTATGCTGATTAAGTTGATATTTTTCAACTATTGGATATTACATTAGTTTATACTCATTGTAGAAACTTTCCAGCAGTTATTACTGACAATCGATTGATCACTGGGTGGTGGTCAATGTCATGTATGTCAGGTCCTTCTTAGTGCAGATCGAATCCTATCGACCAACGTAATGCACGAAATGTCGAGTTACCTAGACTGGTGGCCACATTGCACCTCGGTCGAGTCCTACATATACGTCATTCGCGGCCTGGATATCTCAGTGGTAACGTCTTTGACTAAGAAGCTGGGCGACACGAGGTCGGATCCATCAGGGAGCCTCGGTTCCTTCAAGATTACAGGCACACCCTGCTGACGAGTGCCATATAGTACGAAATCTATGACCAGGGATTCCTATTGACCACCTCCAACCACTAAGTCATTACTGAACTTAGTTATTTGTAAAAAACACCGTACTCTTCAAAAATATTCACAGATGTTAATGCGTTATCAGTTTGAGTCAGTCGGTATGAGATCATCAGGTTAAATTTGTCCTTGTAGAATTTTTAACTAAGACATCGTTACCAGTTGATAAGTGAACGTGTAATAAATTGAATTCGTATTTTACGGAAATAATCACAGATTTAATATAGTTGTGGGTTAGCAGACAGACCACTTGTATGTGAATGTAAGTCAGCTAATTGTTCATGATATATAATTGGTTTGTAAAAAAATTCTACTATGAGGGTTCATATGACCTTAACAATGCATTTAATATGTCGGTCTTTAATATGAAATACTGTTTAATTGAAAAAAACTATTTGATGTAATCGCCACTAATATCAATGTTACATAATTATTTTAACTTTCTGGCTAGTGGTCAAAGTTTCTCATAAAAATAACAGTTGTCATCAATAAGAATGTAATAAAAGGAGAGTTAGTCTAAGTTTTCATTTGAAATTTTTAATAATCTTATAACATATACAGTGGCTTGAAGAAGACCGATTTCACCTAACAATGAGTTGCACAAAAGACTGATAACTACTATTGGTAAACTGTTTACTGTGACTTCAAGACAACCGGTATCTGCTTCTTATCGGGATGAAACAAGACTGCTACACGAATGCAGGCAAGAGAAACAATACTTTATAAGAAGGTTGATTTATTTAACATCCACTAATTAAACGGCGCTCACGGTGATAATGATATATTACATATTTTAAATGTCCGACCAATAAACATATCTGAATGAATTGACCTGACAGTTGATCAACAGTTTAATATGTGTATGTCATTTACATGTAATTTATTAATTGACTGGTTTGAGACGTATGATTGATCTTCGAGTTATACATTGATTTATTTCTTTTGCAATGTCTGTTTTGATAAGTGAGTGAAAACATAAATCATCCCAATCTCCCTATTTGGGGAGAAATTTTATGTTTTGTGGAAATGACGCGAAAACCGCAAAATCTCCCCAGAATTTTCGAAAACTGAGGAAATCCATCTACGATCTGTGATCAAATCCCAACATTTTTCGTATTTTGGGGACATTCTGTGAGATTTTAAGTCATCCCCAATACTGTATTAGGAAAAACCCCAAGATTAGCGATTGTACAGAAAAGTAAGAACACAAAGACTGGTATAATTGAACATTTATGAACCCCAAAACATAACGACGACCT